AAGTATTTGAAGAAGACAGAAATTATATGATCTCGAGGAGAAAAAGTACGTAAGGACTGATATTTTCAAATATACGAAAAAGAATAATGGGATAGTGCAGAATGCAAACAAGTAGTCGGTAAGATTGTGTTACCATCTTTCTGCAACTTTTTGCAATTACAGGATGACGTTTGTTCATGTATTGCAGTTTCAAAAAATTTTAAGGATTGGGTGCAGAATCAACCAGGAGCGTAGCGCAGGTTAAGCTGAGCCACGCTTTTTTGCTTGGTTGTGGTGTGCTGACAGTATGTCGCTTTTGCTCTTTGGTTTACGACCGTTCTGCTGACGGTGAAAGGGTCAATTACCTATCAGTCAACTGTTAGAGTTGCACCAAAGCATTCAGCGATCCGTGTATCACAAAATATTTTAATCATTTCTTAATTAAATGATTTACTATAGAAAATCACGACCTTTTTGTTGAGCAATTGTAAACTAATCTTCAAATTGCGTTTGATTTAAATTTGCAGATTATTTTTTGTTTTAGGACATGACAATGAAGAGGAATCAACCAGTCCATGCTCCTTGCAGTCCAAGTGTTTCAGTCAGTGATACTGAAGTAATCGCATTACGTACTGAAAATGATCGCCTACGGCGAAAGAATGAGGTATATTTCTTACGCACAATGCTTTTGCCCCATGAGATCGGAGCATAGAACTTGTGTTGTCAGGAACTTCGTAAGCGTAACTTCAAAATTTTGGACGATGTGGCTGGATTAGAAAAACAGCTTCAGGTCAAAGTTTCATCTCCGATTGAGTCGCTGGAACCTAGAAAGGTGTGCTCATATTCACTTATCGTAACAATATTAAATTTAGAGTTAATAGGAGATTTTTAGCATAGTTCCATCCATGGCTAAACGCAGAATAGTTCACTTTCTCTAGATTTAGTTCCATCGTGCCAGTGTCGTTATGACGTTGTGTACTCATGTATGATGTACCGTAATGACTTTTTCCCAAACACCAAATAAGTTTTGTTTCTAAGGTATTTTTAGGCTTCTTTGAGATTTTTTCTATTTGGCCGATCCGTCTAGCCTACTAAAAACAAAACCGATATGTACAATGTAGTGTTTGCTCCTGATAAGCAAAGGCTTTAGTCCCTTTGGTGCAAAGTAACGACTATTATAATTGATAATATGTGCTTTATCTGCCTCATATATGATTTTATATGTATATTTGTACGCCTTAATCGCAGTCATTTCAATATCGTAGTAGAGGCAAACAAATCATCAGCTACTAAACTCAACAGCTTTTGTTGATGTTTAGTAGCTGACAATTTTTGACAAGGGTTATTGCGGTTGTTTATAAATTCTAGAACACGTATGACTTTTGACTTTTCACGTGGTGTCTGCCTTTTGAAGTTATGGTAGCATACCTAAGGAAACGCGCTGTTCGTCCTTTGGAGTTTGAAAGAAGTCGAGCTACGAACCATTTGACTCCTGACGCGGTATTAGCAGCAGGTACATGCGCCACTGAGGAGAGGATGATCGTTTGTTAGGTAAAATCAATTATCAATTTGGTCCCCTAACTGCCCGAAACAACGTCTAATGCCTAGTTTTGAAGTTGTTATAAGAAGTATGCCCCTTTTTTGTACCAACGAATACATCTTCTATGATTGTCTCCCTGGTTCTATCGGTTCCCGCTGACTAGTTGATATCGCGCCATAATAGGCTGATCCTGACTAAGTAGGCAAAATGCGCACGATCACGCCAAAGTAGGCAAAGGGTTTCTGCAGGAAATCATCCTAGTACTTGTTTCTGCTTATTTCATCAGAATTTGGCTTTTCTTGTAGGAACTTAGGGCCGTATGCATGAAGAATACCGCTGGGAAGGGGAGGGATCTGATTCCCTAGGGGAGCTATTCATACATTTGATAGTCCAAAGAGAAGACAAAAAAAGTGATAGTGATTTTAACTCAGGCGTTTTGCAAAAACTGGTAGTGGTTTTTGATAGATGAGAAAATAAAACAAGCAGAGTTGATTTAAAACAACAGCCAATGGAAAAATTGTTTTCTGGAAGACTAGTCAGTGAATAATGTAGTAGAATTGTCATAACACTTTCTTCAAACATTCTTCATCATTTCCTTTGTTTACCTTCCTTTTCATGCATACACTTCTACCAAGTTGTAGAGCTAAAGTCATCTTTTTACATAAAAGTGAATTTGTGAATAAGATGATGTGATTCAGCGTGTTCGGAGGTGATCCCTAAACCTGGCAGGTTCACTTAAATAATTTCGCGCGCTAATCACGCAAATTTCTTGCTTTCGCATCAACCAAAAGCGGAAAATGGGGGGGGGGGG